TAGCAGGCAGTGAAGTGCTTCATCTGTTTATTCATCACTATCTCCCCGTCTACTCCTGGCAGCTGCTGATCTTTTGCCTTTCCCAGGTCAGTATAGTTGGAATGATATAGCTTTTTTAGAGAGGCTTCTTTCACTTTGTTATTGTTGTTAATAGGGTAGAAACAACACAGAAAACGAGGGTGAGAATGATTGCACAACTCAAAGAATATAATCAGTGTCAATAAATGGTACATGTAGAAACTGTTGAATTGATATATTTTTTCAGCAACATAAAACAATAAAGCACATCATAGAAGTCCCTTCTTCAGAACCTTCTAATGGTTCTCCATCATACCTGGAATAAAGTTATATAGTTCTTCTTATAGTCTGTAAGGCCCTAAATTTGTTTCCAGTCTCATCTTCTGCTTCTTTCCCCTTCACTTACTGTGTTTAGCCACATTCACCTTATTTCAGTCCTTTTAAAAAACCAAACTTAGTCAAACCGCTGGCCCCATCTTACTAGTTTCCTTTGTTTAGAATCCTACTCATCAAAAGATGCTCACAGATCCCTCCTTACTTCATTCTCTGTTTGAATTCAGTTTTAGCTGTAGAGATAAATTACTTGGAAAGGATATATTTCTCTTATAGATCCACTCTGTATTGCATATAGTTTCTCCTATTATAAATATATTGTGTTTATGTGGTACATGTTAAAGCTGATGAACTGACATTGATGCAGTATTATTAAATGAAGTCTGTATTATATTAGAGTTCACTCTTAGTGTTACATAATTCTATGCATTTTGACAAAAGCAATAATGTATTCCAAAACCAACCACTGCTGTCAAATAGATTCCAACTCACAGTAACCGTGTGGTCGTGGTGGTGGTTGTTACGTGCTATGGAATCGATCCTGACTCATAGTGACCCTGAATAGGGTTTTTGAAGCTGTAAATATGTATGGGAGCAGAAAGCCTCATCTTTCTCTTAACAGAACAGCTGGTAGTTTTGAACTGCTGATCTTGAGGTTAGCAGCCCAATGCACTACCAGAGCCTCTATAGTAACCCTGTAGGACAAAGGAAAATTGCCCCATAGGTTTTCCAAAGCTATAAATCTTAACTGAAGCAGGTGGCCACTTCTTTTTCCTATGCACAATGTATGAACCATCACAATATTATACAGAATAAAGTACTTTGTGCTTCAACTGTTTATTCATCACTATCTCCCCATCTACTCCTGGCAGCTGCTGATCTTTTACCTTTCCCAGGTCAGTATAGTTAGAATGATACAGCTTTTTTAGAGAGGCTTCTTTCACTTTGTTATTGTTGATAAGTTTCATCATAAGTCCCCCATATCTTTTCATAGCTTGATAGCTCATTTGTTTATATCATTTAATAATACAGGAGTATACAACTACTCCTGAAGGATACTGAAAGAGGAAGTCCAAGGTGCATTGAAGGAATTGGCTAAGAACAAGGCACCGGGAATTGATGGAATAAAAATGGAAATCTTTCAAGAAAGTGAGGCAGC